GCTGTGGTACAGATGACGTAATGTTAATTATGCTCAGATCTACTGCTGCCGCTGCACCAGAGCGCCATTAATCCGGAGTAATCCTCTGAAGTCAAGGGGTTTATACCAGCAAGGCTACTGCATCTGCCCTTACCTCGTGCAAGGGGCTGTAGCAACAGGAGATTCCCAGGGCCACGGAAATGTGGTTACCCCAAACCTGGGTGAGATCCCGGCAGGAGCAACAGGATCTTGTGGACTGCAGCTGTGTGAATGACAACGAGGTTCCCAGCTGAAGAGATCAGCACCATCTTCACCTATTGTCAGCTGCTGGCCTCCACCTTTCCTTTATATATTCCCCCCCCCCCCCCAATCAGCAGGTTTTTGCTTGCCCATTTCTTGCTTTCCCTAAGGATTGTTTGGACTGTACAATTACTCCAACCTAAACCCCTTGCTTATTTAGCCAAATTTGTATCTTCTGTGGCCACAGCTTCTTTTGCCCCTCCATGGTTTCCTACATTACTGCTAATAAAGCCCAAGTCCTCTGACCAGCACTGACCAAGGGCACCTCAGAAGTCAAACTGCCAAGGAAATTGCCAGACCAGATAAAGCTAATGGTCCATCCGGGCCAGATCAAACCAATGGTGCGTCCAGGCCAATATCCTGTCTTGGATAAGGTCTATATCCCCAGCTTCCGAGCAAAGTTCTCATGATCAAAAATATGGAATAAATTGCTGAGGAGGAAGTTTTTTTAACACTAGGCATTTAGTGGTTAGCTTGTGCCTTGAAGCATAAGTATTTACATTCCATATTCCCCCACTAAAGTAAGCTAGGTTTATTGGGCATGGCTTAATAGACAGTTCTACTCCTCTCAGGCCTAACTTATGAGCATTTCCTTCCCTACTCCACCAGAAACAATTTCCTGTCCTGATCACTTTGTCTGTGCAACACAGTGTGGTTCCTCCCACATGTTCCTTTCTCTCGCATTGCCCAAGGCAGTTTGTTAAGCCAAGCATCTTCCCTCCAAGATCTGTTCTCTACATTGCTGGCATGGAAGATAACCATGTTGAGTTCCTTTTAACACCTACAGAACACCAGAGGACTTAAGAACATCCTTAGCTCTCAAGCAATTCAATAGCAACACAGTAGAAGCAAGGACCATCCACTTGCCCATGATTTGGAGTGACTCATTAACTGCAACAGCAAGTACAACTCCCAGACCAACCAGTGTACACCCCATCACCAGAATCCTTCACAGTGGTCACACTTACTGGCCAACATCAGCTGCAAAACCCTTAAGGCAGAGCGACATCTCTGCCAACCAAGGTGAGAACTGAGCAGCAAGGCAGGACCCAGCATCCAAGTTAAACTCAGGTCTCTCCAAAGGTTCCTCCTATTACAAAGGACCCAGCTCTTCTGTGGCTTGCTCTGGAGTGTGGAATGAGGCACAGACTGACATGCCTTGATCAGCACAGGGAATTGCTATAAAGGCAAAAGCCCGGATGACTTCTCATCTGAGGCCTTCTCTTCCCCTTCCTTTATCCCTGGCTTGCTCCTCTCTGTAGAGCCATTCCTGTGCCCTTGGCTCAGCTTCTGCTCCTTCATCTCCCAAACTTAGCAAGGTCTCCTCCTCAGTGAGTCCCAGGGAAAGGCAGAGCCACAGAAACACACAGAGACAGCTCACAGGCCCCTTCAGCTCAGCAGGAATGGAAACCCATGGACTTCCAAACCCCCTCTACAATCACCCTACTTGCCTCCCATTATCTCTCTTATACTCATTTCATTAAGGGGGGTCTAACACAGCCCAGCTGTCCCAGTTGATGGGCTAAAGCTGTCTGGAATTTAGCTAATTAAAGCTGATTGCCACACAGTGGTTGGGCTTGTAAAGCGGGGGAATGTAAGTGAGACCATCCATGGTGTTACTGCTTAACACCTCCAGGCACTTCAGCAGCCTAAGCACAGGCAGGGTTTTTGGGGGGCCAAAGTGAAATGATCCTAATATGAATGATCCTAATATGAATGATCCACCATTCCTCCCATCCTCCTTCTGTTTTTTTTTTTTTTTTTTTTTTTTTTTTAACTGAGCAATCTTTGGGGAGGCAGAACGTTGTGCAGGGAAGAAATGGAAACTTTTATTAAAAATGAGAGCCCAGTGAAAAGCTCACGGAGGGGAAAAAACCTCGGTGCGAAGCGTCTCTAAAAAAGCCTCCCGGTGAGCAGCACAAAACCCCCGGCCTATTCATGGGGCCAACAAAAAGCTTCTTTAGGTTTGCACTGTGAGTCCATTGAGAGCGGCGCGAGGCGGCCGCTCGCACCCCGCCCCTGTGCACACAGGCAGCGCTGCTCCGCACACAGGCCCGGCTGTTCGGCCCGCTCACAAGGAAGCACTGAATTTTTAAAAGTAAACTGTAAGGTTTCCGTTGTTGCACCGGGCTCAAGTATTTTTTTTTTTTTTTTATATATATATATAACAGCTCCCTCTTTGCCGCCTTGCTCTTTCACTCTTTAAACAGCCCTCAATGCTCCGGGCTGCTCCGCAGCCGCCGCGCTCCGGCTCCGTATGTGGTCCAGCCCCGCTATGAACACGGCTTTTGTTGCAGCTGCTGGGAAGCTGCCTGCGGACGGCACACACAGCCCGGCTTGTTCCACACGGAGAGGCCCGGGCGGCCTCGGGAAGGGGGGAGGAGGATGGGAGGGAGGGATGGAGCAGCTCCGGGAAGGCTGGATGCGCTGCCTTGCGGTGGAGCAGCCTGCCCGCCGCTGCACAGGGACACGGAGAAGCGAGCAGACGGAGGAGGGCGGCTGTGGAAAAGATGTCGCAGGCGGCCAAGAAAGGTCCTGTTGGTTTTTAAAGTGGGACTGACTGGCGCTTCACCAGCCCACGTTCTTGCTGGGTGGAAGTCAGCACGGGAAGGCAATGAAGTCACTGGATTCGACGAGGATCTGCCCCAGGCAGAGCAGGAGAGAAAATGCCAGGAACAGACTGGATTTTAGAGTCTCTAGGGGCCCTGGCCTTTATGTATTCCCAGGTGACATGAGAGCCTGTAGCCATCGGACTTCTCTTTTCATTTACACATTCATTCATTTCCTTCCTTCTTTTAAGTGACACTATCCATCCTCTTCTTTCTCAACACCTTAATGACCCACAGCCACCCAAACACCTTTCTAATTAGCCAGTACTTTACAAGGATGAGCTGCTGTTTGCTCTGACAGTGCGCAGCCTGCAAAATTTTACTCAATGCCCCTTTTCTCTTCAGCTGTTTTTCCCTCCATCTCTTTCACTCCCTCCATTTCCAGCCTCCTCCGTTCTCTTTGCTCATCCATCCTGCAGCCCTCATGCTGCTGTCAAACCCAGCTACTGTACGCGAGGTTGATTATAGGAAACATTAAACAGCAGTTCAAGTGGAACAGATGGAATTTTCCCTCCAAGGCCGTTGAGGCTGCTGAGATCACTCAGCTGGGACGGGCACATCTCCAGCCCTCACCCTCCGCCCCTGCCCAGCTCAGGTGGGAGACGACATCTCTCTCTCCTGCACTCTGACAGGAGCTTGAAACATCTCTGAAAGGGGGAAGATCTCCCCTTTGATCTACGAGGCTGATACGGTCTCTGAGTCAAGCAGGAAAATATAACGTCAAACAATCAAAGCAAAGAAACGCATAGCTCGGCTTCCAAAAGTGCAAGGGACCGTCCTTCCCCGCAGGATCGGAAAAACCCACAAATCTCAGCCCCCTAATAATTGATTCCTCCCCAACAGTCTTTTTCTGGAGTTTATATATAAAAATATAGTGACAAACGCGAGACAATTCCTTTCTCTCCCAACTATTTCCTCATGGGATATTCCCCCTTCTCCACATCTGGAAAAGTTATTTTAGAAAACTAAAGAAGCCTTTTTTAACTGAAGTTCTTGGCTAGACGACTCAAAAGGGAAGGTTTAACTGTGGGCTTTCCATAACAGCACAGAGAATAGACTGCTACTTAATTTAAATTCTTAAAGGTTTAAATGAAAAACCTCCGAAAGCAATAAAAGAATTAAAAGAAGGAATTTCTGACGGAGAATTTGAAAAATAAAACTTTTTAAACTCATCTGTTTTTGCAGAAAAGCTCAGTTCCCTGCAAACTACTGCTAAGAATACGGTGCATCTGTGGATCAATTCAGCAAGAGGGCAGGTAGCACCCGGAGCAGCTGACTGGAAGTATCCCAGGAGAGGCTGCCAATTCTCAGTCACTCATTCACCGCCATCCTCACGCAGGAACACGCTGTCAGACCTCTGGCTGGACACCCTCTTTTCATTCTCTTTCTGTACGTGTCACCCCTTATCCAGAACCGAGCAGCTCTACAGCTCAGACCGCCCTTTGCCTCCCCTGCAGCAGAACAATTCCACTGCTCAAAGCGGGAAACAGGAGAATCTCCCTTCCCAACATCTTGTGGCGTTTTTAAGAAGCCAGCAAAACCACATCCCCCTTCCCCAGTGCTCGGAAGCGGGATCAGAAATGTCTCCAGCACTCGAGTGACAGCTGAGCTCCGTCACTAAGAAACACCAATAGACTGGAGGGTCTTTTGGGGAGCAAGAGGGGTGAGAGCCCCTCTCTGCTCTCCCACCTGCTGCCATAGCCTATACAATCTCTAAAGCCAAAGAACTGGCTTTCCCTCCCTTCTCCCAGGGAACTAGTAAATTTGGCACAGAAATGCTGTGTCTGGCTATAGCTTTGCCCTAACGGGTCGCTTGTTGGTGAGGACCACAGCTCTGCGTGGCATCCGAGCGCTCCTGGCAGCCTTGGAAAACCGTGCACATTCCTGACAAACTTGTCTCTCCCAGGAGCGCTGTTTGCAGAAGCGAAACTTGGGGGAGAAGCTCGGGAGCAATCAGCTAACAACTTTCCTCACGTTTCTGCACTCTCTGCTCAGCACAGAAACAACCAATCCACTTATTCAGAGCCTGCGTCTATAGAGCACTGAGGAAAGAAAAAGAAAAGTTAAGGAAAAAAAATCACGGAGACGACAGAGGAAAGTGCAATACATTACCTTTAACAGTTCAGTGCACTGCTTCGAGAATCTAAGTCCCATACACCTGGCAGAGAAATTAGGTGTTTCTCGGCGTTTAATGAGGAAAGACCTTGCCACTTCTTGCTATTACTCTATGTCTTCTTCACAATCTCCAGATGAGTTTTCCTGGTTTTTTTTTTTTTTTTTTTCCCTGGTTCTCCAGAAGAAAGCAAAATTCCCTGTGTGGTATTTCAGGTCCTCTCAGGCAGTGGCAGCAGCAGCAGCAGGCTTGAAGAGTGAGTACTGTGTGTGAATGGCAAAAAAGAGAGAGAGGGTTGCAGACCACATCAACTGCCACTGGCTGCAAGAAAGACCATCCAACTCCTGTCAGCCTCCTTAGATACCTCCTGAAGAGCTGGCAAACTGAATGTATTGGATCCTCCTCTGAATTTTAGAGTAAAGGTAGGCAGGCATCCAGGGGGCAGGGGGAAATAGGAGGGTTTATGGACAGAAAAGGAAGCCCAGCCTCTTGGAAAGAGGAAAAAAAATAGAAAAGAAAAGAAAGAGGGGGAAAAAAAAAGCATTACCCAAAAAAAAAAAAAAAAAAAATACTGTAAATGGAGAAAGCTGAATGGGGAGTAGGGGATTAAATTTAGCGCTCTGGTTTGGAACCAGACTAAATGGAGCACCACAAGTGGTTGAGAGAGAAGAAGTAGTTTATGCAATAAGAAGAAACGTGGTTTATGCAAACTAAAATAAGATGAAGCTAATTAAGGAACCTGAGCAAAGTATGTGTGTCTGCAGTGCAGTCAATATCACTGCAGTCTGACTAGAAACGAGCAGATTTCCTGGGAAGCTCAGAGAGAGCAGCAAAGGGAAAAGTTTAGTGAACTCTCCTGTATGGAGAGAGCACAGGAAGGAGGCAGGTGATGGAAGGGGAGCTCAGGTGGGAAGCTGGGAGAGGATGGACAGCACTAAGAAATGGAAGCATCATAACTGATAAGCAACCTAAAAGCAGAGAAATAAGAAGTGATAAATGGAGTGGAGCTGTTTAAAAGTTGTGTAGGATATACTGGTAGAAATACTGAGCCAGCCAGCACTTGGGAATGGTGGAGAACCATGCAGCTACCCCCAGAGCTCAAGGAGGCTCCCATAACTGCATCCTTGGCCCTTGGCAGTGCTGTGGGAAAGTGCTCAGGAAAGATGAGGCTGTAATATGTTTTGATCCCCCCTTCCTTTTCTTTGTGTGTGCGTGTGTGAAATGATCAAGTAACTTTTGGTGGCAGAAATTACTGCTCTGGAAGGGCAGAATGGGTCTGTTGCTGCAGACCCATTGGGGGTCTGCCCAATGGCCAAGATACCCGCATCTTGGGTAGTGAAGGGGCCAAATGGCAGCTGGGAGGAATTGGGAACCTGATGAGACTTTCTTAGTTCAGGTAACTGTTCCTGGCTGAAAAAAGCCTGAGAGTAGACAGAGACCTTGAGCTTGCACTTCAGATGGACAAGAAGGTCCCCAAGTCAGGTTGAGACTATCTACACTGTGACTCAGTCTTTTCATCTACCCATTCATCACAATTCACTGATAAGAGACCTGTAGGAGATCAGTGTTGGTCAACTCTAACTGCACAGATACTGTATGATGCTGCCTGGGCAGTAACTACTTCCTCACCCAGCCAGTAGAGACTTCACAGAAGATGCCTCCACCAGCACACCTCCAATGCAGGAAACTCTGTATATCCAGGCAAATAAAAACTCCCTTGTACAGGCTGCAATATGGGTTACCAGAAAGAAAACAGCAGGAAGCTCAAAATGAATCACTTTCTAGGGCAACTTTGACCCAAGTCTCTATAGCCTAAAGGTTGCCACATTCTGCAGTGCTCTTCTGCAATGCTCTTGCTCTGCAAATCAGAGAACCACCTGTTTTTAAAAGAGATTTTTAAAGCTGGGAACTCCCCTGGGTTTAAAAATGAGACAGCTGTGACAGCCCTTTCCCTTAACATGCAATAGATCACCAGCATAAAGGCAAAGGTAGAGGTAAAGTTAAAGGTAAAGGTAGAGGTAGAGGTAGAGGTAAAGGTAAAGGCAAAGGTAAAGGTAAAGTCTGAATGAAATTGCGTGAACACTGTGTCTACAGTCTTGATTTTTAACCTCTGATCCAACGTGAACACCTTTCTCCTGGTGTGTTTGGGACTCTAAAGCTCTATGCTGCCTTTAGTGACCCAGCTCTGCCCGGAACAGCTGGACAATGTCTGTCAGGTCTGCTCTGTGCCCACCTTACACCCCAGCCATACATCTCCCCTCAGCCTCTCTCCCTCCAACTCTCTTTTCACATAATCTTCAGCACTGAAGATTTAATTCCAAATGAAATCTGCATTTCCCTCTCTTTTCCCAACACTCACCTTTGCATTCTAGTTTAAGATATAATATTTTTTCTGCCCTTCATGAATTATTTTGATCTCATCCCTCATTTCAAAACTTGCTTCCTTGCCTGCCTCACTTTTAAACCTGACATTCGTAGCCTGCATGCAGCATGTGTGCCCTCACGTGAGCGCCACGCATCCATCATCCTGACAGTTAATGTTCCCAGATCACAGGGCACGGAGACACACTTCTTTACGTAACCTGCCTTCTCGTGTGTAACTTTTTCCATCTTGGAGATTCACGGCCAGTTTTTGGCATGGCTCTTACCCTTTTTTTTTTCAGCACCAAAGCACTAGATGGTAACTTAAACACTTTCCTGGTACCTTTATGCTAAAGGTCAGAAGGGCAGGGAGGAAAAACTCTTCACAACCATCAGAAAAAAGACAGAGTGTTTGCAGACCCATTTGAAATTCTTGTATTTTATTTCCTCTTCCCTCTCATGCCTTTCAATGTGCCTTGTAAGTGCCTTTATAAGGGCACTGTCTGCCTACATCAAATGTAATCTTCCACCCACTGAGGTCAAGTGGGAGCCTTCCCTCTGACTTTAAGATCCTCAGATCAGTCCCAGGGGCTGGTGCCGTCTCCAGCTGTGGAATAAATTATTGGAGACATCTCTGCACGTGCCGTCCTGGCCAGCCCACTGTTCCTCGTGCTGCCTTCCCTTTGATATCCAGGGTGTCCCTGCTCCGCACCCACAGCACAACATGGCCAGGCAGCAGCTGAGGACAGACAGAAGGGCTTCAGGTGGGATTGTGCCTTCATCAGGGCTCAGTGCTTCGAGTATCACGTAGACAGGAACTATAAAATGCGACCTCGCTGATTTTGTTCTGACTCATGTATAGGAGCGACTCGGCAAGAGCTCACGCCTGGCCACAGCCCTTTCTTACTGCAACAGAAAGGCCGTTTGGGGAAATGCATCCGGGTTTAGCTGTTTCTCTGTGGAACAACTGTGAGCCCTGTGTACCCTCTGCTGCTGCTTTGGTTTGGCAAAGTAAGCTCTATCTAAACTTCGGTGAGGTTAAGCCAAGGACTAGAGAAAATTCCACTTCGGGGCTGACCAGCTAGGAAAATGTGATGCTTCTCACAAAGTGGTTTCTTAGCAACTTCAGGGAAAGGAAGAGAAACCGCTCAGTACCTGTCGGCTGTCCCATTTTTTTGTTTGCATCAGGAATGATTGGAAAAACAGCTAAACATGTTCAGAGAAATTGTGATTCATAAACTGACACTGAAACTGGTTCTGTTTGCTTGTTTTTAAGCTGGCAAAATTTAACACCTTACTTCCTTCTAGAGGGACCAGGATAGAAAAGTTGTTCAAATGACTTTTGTTTGTTGTTTAAAGCAAGGAAGCAACAACAATTCAGAGGTCCTTTAAATACAGGTAACAAATGACAAAAGTGCTATAGTTAGGTAGGATTTTTCTTCTTGAATTTCCAAGGAAGACCATGTCTATTCCTAGTAAAGTTCAGTCTTCATGAAGTGCAAATATTTGGACTGAGAACAAGTCCTGTGTACAAGGAAGAGTGAAGAATAGCTTTGCACCGAAAACTCTTGAATATCCAGAATTTGCACAGTGGATATGGTCACTGAACGAAAACAGGCAGAAAAGGAAAGAAGATAGAAAAAAAGATTGAAAGAGTAAAACTAGCAGTTTTTCAAAAGCAAAGAAGGGCAGGCTTGGGTGGCTTCCTAGAATTAAAAAAAAGGGGAGGAAAAGAAAGAAGGAGAGGAAATAAAGACCAGATCGAACAATAGAATAGAGTCATCAAACTGCTTTTAAAAATTGCACAAACCTCACTACTTACTGTTCTGAACTACTGCTGCCTCTCTGCAACTGTTATTTCTAAGCCACTCACAGTCCTAAGCTCAATCCCTCATCCTCCTCCAGAAGATGAAGAGGAGGAGTCTGTATCCCTTGGACACTTATAATTTATAGGATTATTATCATATATGAATGCTAATTGGGCATTAAAGAAAGGTAGAGACACGAGTGGAGCTTATGGGATCCTGACTATCCTGCACAAAGTTAGCTGAGTGGGGGTACAATTTAAAAGTCTATACAATTCTTCAGAAAAAGTCACTGGAAACCTAAGGGCATTTAGGCAGCTTTGAGCCTTTGCTTAGCAGTACTTTTCCTGGTTTTCAGTTAGCATTTGAGAAGTTCAAAACACCACAAATGTTCTTAACCAACCCTCACAGATGAATTTTATTAACAGTTGCCATCTCCCTGCCACATGGACCTAATGTACCACGTGGGACTGGGGCTGGTAGAGGCAAGGTGATGTGCTCAGAGAAACGCTGAGGGTTTCAGCCCTGACACATGCACACTCACCCATACGCATTCAAGCTACTGGAGGAAATGTTTCCTACCTCAGGCTAGGAAACATTTATTTGGGCAACTTGGTGCTGCTGATGCTCTGGACCATTTATGGTACCTCACTCCGTGGGTACTAAAGCTTCCTCTTGCTCACCCTAGGGGCAGCGTTGGCCATGCTGACAGCAAAACCGCTGTGCCAGCAGGAAATCCTCCCATATCGAGGCACTGCTCTACACGTCAGCAAGGATTGCCTTGACTATTTTGCAAGGCAAAGCCTGAGTTTCAGCAGTCTGAGTGCCGTTATTAAGGCACTGCTGGAATGCTGCTGTCAGGAGGCCTCACCACTTTTGACTGCCCCGCTGGAG